TACTCCAGAGTGTTGTTCAGCATGGGGGTGAGTAGAAAATGAAGGCTAATCATGTTTTGGGTGTACTATTCCTTTAATATCTCATTAAATAATAATCGAGAGGTGAAAATCAATTTACATGAAACCAGCCACAGCCATGTGTTGCTTTTATTTAATGTTTTTGACAGAAGTACCAAATAGATAATCACAGAAGGGGTTTGAATCATTAGTTACAGTTTTAGAAAAACATGTTTCTCATGCATAAGGAATGCATTTAATTGCAAAGGCTTTTACTCCCAATCACAGTGCAAGACTCCACTGCTGAAGAAAAGGCATGCTAAAGCTTTTTAGAGCTGCAAAATCTCTGAGGAAGTCAGTGAAATATTAGGAGACACACAATGTTTAAAGGGAGAGCCACTTGTGCACATTGCCCCAATGACCATGCTAAAAGGCAACTTTGCAGCTGGAAACATCAGGGTGGTCTGACAGAATATTAGATGAATTTGAAAAATGTTCTGGGACATTCTGATAAGATAAGAGCAAGATTAAAGTTGTGGAGATCCATAAACCAATGATCCATTTTTTTTATTTTTCTACCAACTATAGCTTTGCTTTGATTCCTGTTTTTTTTTTTATCGTTTTTACTTTTTTTGGTAGACATCAAGAAGCTTCTGACATAAATATCTAGTAGCTCCTGGTAAAATCAAGCCCTTAAGATATATTTTCAATAAGGTTGATATAGGGTGCACAGTGCTTCCTTTAGATGTATGTTACACAATTAAATTGAATTTAAACCTGAAAAAAGATATTAAGTAAAATACTTAATCTAAATGGTAAAAAAAGAATAAAAGTATGATTTTGATAAGAAATACATTTGAATAAAACTGGCTTGAGCTACTTTCGAATGACCAAAGACAATGTAGAAAATGTAGAAACAAAGGAATCCTTCCAGTGCTGAGGTGACAGTTTGGAAAGAGGGATTTCCTCAAGGTACCTACTTTTTGGTTGAAGGACCTGCGGAATTTGGAATATGTTTAAAAGCAATTCTGAAATAATTGGGTAAATTAAGGAAAAAAACAAAAAAATACGAGAGATTTAAGTTTGTGCAAGTTGAGATCCTGGCTGCACAATTTTGGACAAACTTAGTCAATGATCCATGGACTTTATTGATGATGCCGCTGAAATGAATCACAGTAGCCTACACCAGGACATATAATAGCAAGACTAACTTTATCAAGTACTTGCTTTTACATCAACCTGCCAAGTATAATTTTTTT